CAGTCCATCCTCCAGGAAATAAAGCCCGACTGCTCATTGGAGGGAAGGAGACTAGAGACAAAGTTGAAGTACCTTGGCCACATCATGAGGAGACAGCAAAGTTTAGAGAAGAGAATGATGCTGGGGAAAGTGGAAGGTAAAAGGAAGAGGGGCCGACCAAGGGCAAGATGGATGGATGGCATCTTTGAAGTGACTGGACTGACCTTGAAGGAGCTGGGGGTGGTGATGGCTGACAGGGAGCTCTGGCGTGAGCTGGTCCATGAGGTCACGAAGAGTTGGGAACAAATGAACAACATGCTTTCTAAAAGATAGTGGCTCAGGGTTGGGGTAAAAAGATCTCAGGATTTTTTCTACCATTTGGATAAAGGCACCTCAGTAACTGAAGGAAAAGGAAAGAAAGATCATCTCTATGGATTCACTGACTGTTTTGTTTGTAACTTTGATAAGCTGTGCCAAGTCTGCAAGGACTTTGAGAAATAAATATTCTGTTTTGGTTTTCAAAACTTGTAGTAGCCTCAGTTGCTGGGAATCTCAAGCTTCTAAAGAAAGACCCCCGCGGTCTGCCCAGACAAAGAGAGAAGCACATCTTAGTTTTATTTTTACAGGGTCTGGGTGTGACGGCACAATGCAAAGGCAGCAGGTTCTGTCGGATTTTGGAAGCTAAACAGGGTCAGCTCGGGTTAGTATTTGGATCCTGAGGGACTTCACCTCTGCCTTTCTCTGAGGCTGAGAGAGTGTCTCTTGCTCCAGGCACACCAGTGGGTTTCCAAGGTGAATTCGGGCTGCAAGCTCTGCCTTACAGAGGGCTCAACCCATTACATCAGGCCATAAGATGCCTTTATTTTTCTCTGAACATTTGCAAAAGAACACAAAAAACAGAGCACATTTCAGTGAACTTCTAAAACAAGTGCAAAAGAGCTGAAAAGGAGGAAACCAGTGTCGAAACCGTTGCGCTCAAGCAAATTTCAATCAGGTCCAATGCAGAACACACAATAACATTGCACAAAGGCAAGAGGAAAATGAACAGGGGGAAAAAAACTTTACTCTTATCAGCAGAGTTGAAACATAAACTTGCAGTGGGCCTTGGGACTTGCTCTCCAATGGAAGATCTTCCTAGACTCCAGACATGGAGTGTAAGAAGATCTTCCCAGTTCAAGTTGCAGGTCATCACCTACAAAGCTCTAAATGGGACCTGCCTATCTTCAAGATCGCATCTTCCCTTACGAACCCACACAATCCCTGAGATCTTCTGGGGAGGCCCTTCTTTTGCTCCCACCTCCAATACAGACCCGGTTGGTGGGGACAAGGGAGAGGGCCTTTTCAGTTGTTGCCCCCGACTCTGGAATTCCCTTCTTAGGGAGATCAGCCTAGCCTCCTCCCTATCCACTTTTCAGAAAGATTTGAAGACATGGATGCTCCGTCGTGCATTTGATTAAACCTTTCCCTTGACAGTTGTCCTTAGGTAGGACCTCCAAATTTGACTATGCACTTTACTACCATTTTATTTATTGCTCTCATTCTTAACATGGCCCTAAGCACTTTACTCATTGTCCTATCCTCTGATTTGTTGGACACCAGGCCACCCACTCATGTTGAGACTTCACCATGTTATTGCTGTTGGTTTTGATTTTTTAAAATATTTTGTAGGATGTTGTTTTAATTTGCTGTTGATGCACTCTGATGTGCTATGTTTTAATTTCTGTTATCTGGGCTTGGCCCTGTGTAAGCTACCCCGAGTCCCTTCAGGGAGATGGAGGCGGGGTATAAAACTAAAATAATAATTATATCCTACCTTGTCCATGTCCAGCATTATTTTTTAAATTTTAAATCATTGCATTTGGCCCAGACATAGGTTTTAAATGCTTGTTGTTATTGTTATTAACTTTTGTGTATGAGATTTATTTTAACTGTTGTATTGTTTTTTTATTGCTTTTACTGTTGATGTACTTTGGGCTCGGCCTCATCTAGGCCACACCGAGTACCTTGGGGAGATGTTAGCAGGGTATAAATAATGTTTATTATTTATTATTATAATAAATCTCTATAGATATAAACATTTTCCTACTTTCCTTGAATTAATTGTTCTCACACTTTCATTGTTACCCCCACCCCCATGTTTTTTTCTCTCCTCACTCCCCTGTTTTAATATAATTATGGAAAAATAATTAAAATTTAATAAAATAAAATAATAATATTAATAATTCAATTTTGACTTCTATATGACTATTCTGCATATTTTTGAGGTTTGATTTGTAGCTAAAACTCTTCCCACTCTCTTCTGTATGACTCTTCTGGTGAACTTTAAGAACAGATTTAAGGGTATAACTTCCCGCACTCCAGGCATTGATAGGTTTCCTCTCTTCTGCAATTCATTTCTTGTGCAATAAGACGTCTCTTATCCAAAAAGCCTCTCCCACACTCCATGCATTTATATGGCCTCTAATGTGTGTGGGTATTTATGTGTTTGTTGAGGTATCCTTTGTAAAAAAAGCATTTCCCGCACTCCGGGCATTTATATGGCTTCTCTTCTCTGTGGGTGTTTTGGTGCTGTGTTAGGGTCTCTCTGAAAGAGAAACTCTTCCCGCACTCCAGACATTGATAGGGTTTCTCTCCTCTGTGATTCATTTCGTGCCCAGTAAGACGTCTCTTACAGGAAAAACTTCTCCCACACTCGGTGCATTTATATGGCTTCTCTTGCATGTGGGTATTTATGTGGCTTTTGAGGTGTCCTTTCTGAAAGAAGGCTTTCCCACACTCCAGGCATTTATAGGGCTTCTCTCTCAAGTGGGTGTTTTGGTGCAGCTTTAGGCTGTCACTGAAAGAGAAACTCTTCTCGCACTCCAGACATTGATAGGGTTTCTCTCCTCTGTGATTCATTTCGTGCCCAATAACATTTCTCTTACAGGAAAAACCTTTTCCACACTCGCGGCATTTATATGGCTTCCCTTGCGTGTGGGTTCTTTTGTGTCTGCTGAGGCTTTTTTTCTGAAAGTAACTCTTTCCACACTCCAGGCATTTATATGGCTTGACAACAATTTGGTATTTTTCATTGTATGCCTCCTGGAAGAAGATATTTTCATAGACAGGGCTGTTTCCAATCTCCCTGCTTTTGTCTATTGTCTCTTCGATTTTGATTTCCCTGATGTCGACAGGGCACCAGTTCCTGTTATATCCTTCTGCTTCCATTTTTAGGCTTCTTTCCTCCTCCATTTTACTTCCCACTGTTTTCAGCCACATTTTATTTGGAGCTCCCCCACTATCACTCCCTTGTCCATCACCACCTTGAAAGAAGAAAGACAAAAAGTAGGAAGGCATGAGAAAAGGGAAGAATGAAATCAATCAGCTACAGAAATATTGTATGTGAGAGAAAGAAGATGTGGGAATCTTCTTACGGAGTTGTTGGATTATCACCCCCATCATAGCATTGTCCACAGTGGGGGGGGGGGGGGGGGGGGGGGGGGATGCAACATGCAACCTGAAAATATCATGAGCTACCCTACGAAACCATGTTCAAGCAAGCATTGAGTAATTGTCCTGCTGAAGAGCAGCTCCTCAGAAGTAGTGTCCAAAGGGGCATCGTTTCTTCCAGCCTGGTCAGAAACCAGAAGTTTCTCATGTTCCTGAACTATGCAGCAAGACTGTAGAGAAATGACAATCCCCCCAACTGATTTTTCTTAACCAAGAGGCTGAGGGATTCTTACCCAGAGAAGCCACCATCCTGTAATTTTCTTCCATGACTTCCCAGTGCAGGGCCCATTGATCCGGATCCAGTAAGGCCCACTCCTCGGCACTGAAATGTACAGCCACGTCCTCAAATGTCACCTGAAAGAAGAAAGTTGGACACACAATTATTTATTTATTCATTTAGAAGTTTTATATACCGATCTTCTCACCTCCAAGGAGGGACTCAGACCGGTTCACAACATGTGTTAATATACAATAATATACAAAAACAACACAATGCATCATCATTACAAGTTAAAATATAAGTACAATAAAACATTATCATCACATTATACAAGTCAAATCATCAATAAAATCACAGTCACGGTTCATCATCCTCCTTCCATGTGGACAAAGGTTATTGACTCAATTAGCAAATGCCTCATTCCAAAGCCAGGTCTTTGTTAGTTTCCTGAAAGTCAGGAGGGAGGGGGCAGTTCTAATCTCTAGTGGAAGGGAGTTCCAAAGCCAAGGAGCCACCACCGAAAAGGCCCTGTCCCTCGTCCCCACCAACCGTGATTGCGAAGGTGGTGGGACCGAGAGCAGCCCCCCCA